AGCATTAGCTCGCTTTAACTATATAACACTTCGTGGACCATATTGCAAAGTGTTATCAGGACTCAGTTGTCCTCTTTTATAACTACTGTCAAAATTCCTAAATAAGTCACTAACAATAATACTGGCAGACATCTTTTCCAGGTAGTTCTGCAAAATAATTAGTTAAAAAACGAATTTTCTCTGCCTTTCAGCTGATCTTACCTCCCTCCTCTTCGCTGTCTGAGATAAGGTTATCAGAGACCTGATCCAATTTCTCCATGTTCATCGTACCGTCTACCAAGCTGGGATCCCCGAGTGAAAGACCATCTAGTCCGGCACCTTCCAGACTGGGAATCGACCAATCAGACTCTTTAGTAGTCACCATTTGAAGGGTTTCGAACATGTTTAAATAGTGCAATCGGTGCGCTATTTGAGCGGCCGTCCATCCTTGCTGAAATATAGTAAATAAATATTAGGATATTATATTAGGCTATCTGCCCATCAGATGATGGCTTGGTTGGCGGCTGTTCATTATAAGACGGTTAAATGCGAACTATTTAATAAAAATGCAATTCATCATGCTGGCTGGTGCCTGAAGGCTGATAATTTCCCTTCTTCTCAATAATACATTCGACGGGAATATAAATTAATAATTAGCAAATTAGAGGCAGGTCTGTGTGTTCATTAGGTCTGAGATCACGCAGCCTCTAATTAAATATCAAATCTACTCTTCAATAAATGCCCGCCTTTATATGAACGAATTTTAATAATAAACGTCAGGAACCAAAGCTTATCTCTATTGTAAATTTCCATTTCGCCGACAATATGCCATAAAAAACAACAATTTAGTGGGAAAATGCCGACTTTAGCTAGTACTAATTACATTTTCCTTTGGTCTGTGGGTGGAGGCTAATTAAATTTCAAAAAGAGTAGGATTAAATGCTTAATTCCTAGTGTGGTATACCGTTTGCAGAGTTAATTTTCTTTATATGTGGCTTAATTATTCTGGGTAAGCACAGCCAGATCAGAATTTCGGATGAAGAGGATGGCTTAACTTGATAGAATAAACAACTTTTACATTCTACGATAGAAAATAAGCAACTGAACATGCTTTCTCAATGGTACAAAGCAAGAATTGATATTCTGATCGTGATAGATCTCGAGACCAGTATTAATTCTCGAATAGTTTATAGTCTTGAATTATTATTTAAGGATGAATGTTGTGGCTCAACAAAATGTGAGTCCTACCTTTTTTTTTAATTTAAAAATCAGATGTAGTTTGTTAGTAAATCTGGTTAATTAAAAAAAATTTGTGAGGCTCTCTAATCCAAACCCTTAAAATATATTGCAAAGTTACCATCAAGGTACATTTAGGAAGGCCTTAATGAGGGACTTTGCAAGTAAAACGTATACTTACATTCTCGTATACTACTATCATTATGCATACTTCTACAACTTATAAGCATAATAATAGAAATAATGTTTTTTGACCATTTTTGCAGATATTCTAAGGAAATATAAGATACTTTCATAGTTCATCTTAATAGTTTATTTAAAACATGTAGTTTTTTAGTGTCCTTATTTCCTGCATTGAAGGAAACCTAAATTGATTTCATTTGAAGACGTTAAAGACAGTATAAGTTCTACACATTTTGCTTCAGCAACTTTTTCAACAGCTTTCATCTGTTAGACATCTTCAGAGAATGATGCCATCGACTTAATAGACTGAAGGCAAGAACGAATGTCATTTCTGGTATTAGATGCAGAGAAGATATCTCCTCTTGCGAGTAAACTCGTGAAGTCCCTTCATTAAAATTTTATCTTTTAACTAAATCATTGCATTTCACTATAAAGCTTTCATAGTAAGAATACAAATTTAACTTCTATAATTATGCGAAAGGTACATGACAAAAAGCGATTTTATTTAGATCAAATTTAAGAGGAATCTTGCTTTTGCTTTGAAATTCGCTGAGCTCTGCCTCACAAAGACCATGAACTGGGATTTAGACCTCGCTTCTAACTCGCCAGAACCCTCAACAGGCATCGGGTTTCGGCTGTGTAGGTTCAATGGAAAGCAATTAACCCTCATATGTACCTGATACACATGAATGTAAAGGAATAGAGCTCTGTATATTCATATTTTTGATGGGGGAATATCTATCTTGCATAAGGTTTACCTTATAGCTAAACAGCGCCAGGATATTGTGGCCTGAAGGTTGCTGATAAGGTGAGCTTTAAGTTGCATTTAAAGAAGAACTTTTTGTTGAGCTGCATGACAATGTGTAAAAAACTATTCTAAACGAAATATAGTGTGATTTTTATTACACAAATCAAGTCTCCTCTCTAGCTCAACTTGGGCAGAATCATTTGTATATCCCATTATACCTAATTTAATTGTTTATGCTGACAATAATCATAATTTTACTAGCCATGGCTAATCGAATAATATCAATAAATTAGAAATGAGGTATAGAATTACCTATCATTTCCCTAACTACTCCTACTGGAAATACAAATTTTGCCTTATCGACACTCCCACAGTAAATGCGAGTTATAAGAGACACGTCT